GCGCATCTTTGTAGGCGAGATAGCCGTGCTGCTATTCATTGACCCGGCAGAAGTGTCTTGTCGATAAGATGTGTTTTGCGTGTGGCTCCTATTCTTGTAGGGGGAATTGGCCGCCGAGTGAACGGCAGAAGCGGCACGGCTCTGTGACGGTGGGCAAGGCGGGGGTAAGTCCTTCTGCAGGTCCATGTGCCACGGGCTCTGCGGCTGGAATACGTAGAGCTGGTCGTACTCGTGCAACTGCGTTGGGGACGTCAAGTCTACCCAAGTCATGAGGGCATCGTCGTATATCTGGATGCGTGCGATAGTAAAATCCATCGACGGATACCCGTGTGGGCGTCTCAGGTTAGCCTCCGCTGCGAATACCACCAGTGTTTTCCGTTGCAGCTCTGTGATTGTCGGCATCGACGGAAAACTCAGCTCCAGGTTGCACTTCTCTCCATACAGATCCGCACAGACAAGAAGAGTGTACATGATGATCGCTAGGCACGTTGGAGGTCTTTTTTAGTATCCTAGAGGTCTCTAAAAGAGAAATGAAAGGGAATAGCGCCAATGAAACACAAGAACAAGAACCATAACACTCAAACAGGCAACACGAAAACACACACAGGCAAAGGGTGCAAGTACAATAGAGTCATGTCCAAGAGGCATACCAAATGTGTGAGAGAGAAAGAGGCTCAAGACACCAAACTTTTAGCAGTTGTCTCCTCTCTCTTTAGTCGTCCCTGTTTTGAGAGAAAAGCCTCCCTCCTTTCGCCTACAGCCATCTCTTTTTTTTTTCTTTCGTTTTCCTCTTTTAAAGCGGAATGAGTCGGTTCTGATTCTGCCGGAAGAGCTTCGCGAGGACAATAATGATGGTGTGGAGCGCCAAAACATCTTCCCTCCCCACATCACTCATAGCGTTGTACTGCCTGCGAGAAGTCGCATCGTCAACTCGTGGTGTAAAAGCATCCACAATGGCACCTCGGCTATCACCGCGGATGTTGTGCGTCTCGCCGATCGTTCGGATCTGACGACAGCAGGCGCGAAACAGCTCGTGAACCAGTCGGTCCAAGTCAGGCTCCAGCGGTGTATCCACGGCGGACATACACGCGTAGAGCCAAACACCGTACCCAGCGGAGCGAGAAACGATATTTCCCTCCCCGTCCTCCACATCAACGGGCATGAGAACACGAAGGAACGAGAGAAGTGACACAACATCTTCACAAGCCCCCCCACCTCTCAACGGCGGAAGATGAGAGTTAAGGATCGATTGCCCATCGTCAACGTACCTCCCCTCACACTCATCTTCCTCCTGCGCCTCGGTTCCTTCCTCCGTTTCTTCTGGAGTTTGCAGACCGTCGTTCTCAGCATTACCATCTCCAGTGCTGTCTTCGCTTCCCGATTGCTCCTCCTCAGCGTCATACCAGGAGTATGCCTTTGGCTTCATTCCTTGCTTGTACACCTTCAGCATACGGTTCACCAAAGCGGTGAACAATGCACTCGTACACGCGCTATCCAACCACACAAATAGAGTCAGGGGTGGCTTGCAGCCTTGCTCAGGACCACACCGCCTTACATAATCATCCCAGAGGCCCAGTGAAGGCTTCTGGGGAACGCCTGCCGCTGATCTAGTGCCTAGCAACCACTTCACCGCCGCCACAACGCGTTTCTTCGTACGGAAGTTATCACAGGAAGTTAATTGAGACAACGCATCACGCAGTTCTCGCCAGTTCCAGTCACTCGTGTCATCGATGGTGACATTCTTACCGCACAAATTGGCGTAACCCAACACATCTTCCACCCCAGAACGAAGGGTGAGCAGACGCTCACGAGCCGCATTCATCCGCGTAACCGCCATTTCGATTTGGTCCAAGGGCGGTGCCTGAGCCGTGTCTAGTGTCGCATTCCTCAACGTGCTTCCAGGGAACCATTTTTCCATCAGTGTCATCTTCCCCTGCGTGCGTGGCTTTTCCGCCAGTGGGGTGGTGGAGGCGGGCGATGGGGCTGAAGGAAGCGTTACGGACTCGACGCGGNGGGCCCCGCCGTTGTCAGCGTCGCTGTCGCTGTCGTCAGCTCGCCTCCGTTTCTTCATTGGTAGACGACCCACCGTTTGCGTGGGTGGGCCTGACGCACCGGGCCGCCCTCCTGCTAATACACGCTGCGAGACAGAGGAGTGCCCTTTTTGGAAGTGCTTCCGTTTAAGCTTGGATGCAAGCTGCAGGTAGGCTTCCGCGTCATCCTCCATCTTTCCCTTCCTTCAAAGTCAGCAATGCATTCGAGGATGCGCAGGAAAAAAAAACAAACAAAAAAGAAGACAACACCACAGTTTTTTTTTGTTCGTAAAGGCACGCACCACCTCAATGAACTTATGGACACAACAAGAGCCCACACCCAGGGGAAACCAAACATCACAGCTTCTGTCACTCTAACTTACATTCGCACAGCCGCCAAAAACACAGGGCAAACACACGCACACACACACATACCGCCCCCCCCAAAAAAAGCCAGAAAACCGTCACATTTTCCAGTCGAGCAACTCACCATTGACATCAGCCTCCTCGTCCTTTGCCTGAGAAGCGTGCCCCGCTTTCCCCCACCGGAGTTTTCAAAATAACAAACAAACAAACTCAAGATGTCTTAATTTCAGTCGACAAGATGTACTTTTCGTAAAGCTTTTGCTGCTTGTCCTTCTCACGTTGAACGCCCTTTTCATACATGTCTTCCACAAAACGCTTCAGTGGAACACGGGGAACATCTTTTGTTGACTTAAATAACAGACGCCCCTCTGCCTCTTTGCGCGAGGCATTCCGTCGCTCGATTGCTTCGTAGTACAGCCGTTTTACAGAATCATCTATTTCTTCACTCGACAACTTCTTTGAGGTAAATCCAACTTCTCTTTCCTCCTTTTCCGCAGCTTCAACAAGCGCCGCCTCGTGCCGTTCACGATACTGGTAGTACACGCGTTGCGTCACGTTATCCAGCTCAGCCTGTGAGAGCTTCATAGAGGGACATATGGGAAACGGGTCTTGGATAGGGCGTGGCTGCGGACGATTCGTCAGACGCTCCACATGCTTCGCCAGCTGCTCGTCAGTGAGCCGCACAGGCTCGTGCTGCGCTTCGCCAGGCATCAACCCTCTCAACGATCACCTAAACCAACGAACAACAGCAACAGAAAGCCCCCAAAAAGATTCGAAACAGTAAACTGCAACCAACACAATCACACGACCGCCGCGGACAACAATTTCATTCAACAAAATAAAAAACAAAAACAAAAACAAAAAAAAATCGAGAAGTAAAAAAAAAAATTGACATCAAAAAAAACCCTTCCGCTAACAACAAAACAAAAAAAAGACATCAAAACATCAGAAAAAATCCTACATGAAGCAAGAAAACGAAGCCATGCTACGACAACTTTTAAACTAGGGCTCTCAGTACGTGTTACCCGCAACATACAGAGACTGCGACTCCTTGTCGTCATCAGCACGGTTGTAGCGGCCAAGCTGAGCGAGCGAGTTCATCTTGGCGCGGTGCATGAAGGCACGGCGGCCCGCGGCAACGCCGGACTGCTTCCCGCCCCACGCCTTGAGCGCGCTGGACTGCAGGGCGCGGGCGTACGAGAAGGTCAGCTTCCACGGGCGCTGCAGGCGGCTGCAGTTCATCGCGTTGAGGTACTCCGACGCCTGCACCTCGCTGAGACCACCGGACAGGAACGTCACGCCAGGGAGCGCGGGGGGCAGCACGCGGCTCAGCGTCGTCACGGTGTAGTGCGCCACTTGCTCAGGGGTGGCTTTGATGCCAGACTCCGCACCGGGAACCACCATGTTGGGCTTCAGCAGGCAGCCCTCCCACACAACGCCGTGGCGTTGCAGGGCAGATACCACCTCTGCCCACACGTGCTGCGACACGCGCTGGCACGTCTCAATATCGTGTACACCGTCGATCATCACCTCCGGCTCCACAATGGGGACAAGACCACATAGCTGGGACAGGACAGCGTAACGGGCGAGGGTCTCGGCGTTAAAGCGCACAGCCGCCTCCGACACAGTGCCGTTCTGAATCTTGTACACGTTGCGCCACTTGCAGAAGCGGCAGCCAAGGGAGTAGTACTTCCGCGCGCGCTTGATGTAGCCGTCAAGACCCTCCGTCATCTGCTCGCCCTCAGCGCCCTCCACGAGGGGGTTCAGGCCCATGTCCGTCTTGATGCCGGGCACCACGCCCTTGCGCACAAGAAGCTGCGGGAAGGTATTGCCACAGCTGGCCTTTTGGTAGACCGTCTCGTCGTGCAGGATGACGCCACTGATGTACTGTTCAAAGCCCTCGCACTCAAGCATCAGGGCACGGTACTGGCGGCGGTGCTCCTCCGTGTTGCTCAGGCCGATCGGCGCAAAGCGTTTCGCGCACGAGCCAATGGACTCATCAGCAGCGAGGAGACCCTTGCCGGGCGCCGTCATCTTCTTGGCAGTGGCGATGAGCTCCGCCTCGTACGGTGTCTTGAGGCGGTTGTAAGCGGGCAGCTGCGTCTGCAGAACCTCCACGCGGCGGGACATGACTTATTCGGTTATTTGGGATTGGCTGTGTGTATGACAAACAAAAAACGTTCTAAGAGGGTCACGCGATGGATGGATAAAAAAGAAAGTAAGAAAAGGAAGGAAGCTGCAAAAGAGAAGACACAAAGCGGGTGCGATCGTGGCGATAGCTTGAATCCTTCACTTGGCCCCTCTGCTGTTCGCACCAGCCTGAGGGTTCCTGTGTGTTGTTGAGACCAGAGAAGTCGTCAGAATTATCCACACATAAACGGAAATTTATCTTACTGGACGGCGGTGCAATTCTTCTTTTTCTTTGTTTTCCGTACCTGTTAAGACTCTTTTGAGTCTTGGCACTCCAATATGGTCCTTCCTCATTTTGCCCTTTGGATCCATTTCACGCTGCGTGCGCTCTTCTGGAACATAGCCATCCTCGCGCACTGCGGGTGACCAGATACATTTAATTGGGGCTCTCAGTACGTGTTACCCGCAACATACAGAGACTGCGACTCCTTGTCGTCATCAGCACGGTTGTAGCGGCCAAGCTGAGCGAGCGAGTTCATCTTGGCGCGGTGCATGAAGGCAC